GAAAACTAAGCTACCCTTTGCTCTTTCAGGCGGTGCGGTTGGTGGCAGACCTGTGCCTGGAGTATCAGGTGTACGACCCTCAGCTGTGGAACAGTCTGCTTCAGAAGCTGCTGGGATTCAACTTGCTGAGAGGACATGCACCCACTTGTTTTATTTTTTTCACACAAGTACTCAAATTTTATTTAAAAAAAGAACTGAGCACAGTACATGACGTACAGAAAAGATGTTTGGTCTTTTAGTTTTTCTCAACAGTCTTTGTAAAATTGTTGGATGGACCTGCTCAAAATCCTTAAATACATTAAATAAAGACAACTGGTTGGTGTTTTTGAAAAATAAACATGTTTTTCCCCTCAGATCAGCCACTCCAAGAGGTGCCTGAGGCAATAGTGGCTGTGCCTGCTCTGTGGGAGGTAATGTCGTTGTTAAATAAATGCAAATGATGTTTCATGTTACATTTTCATTAGTAAAATAAAATATAGTCCCAAAGTGTATGTGATAATGCGAGTCATGGTTACAAAATGTCGTTTCAGTACAGTTTTATTTGTCATATGTAGGTTAACACAGGGTCAACTGTACAATTAAATGTGTTGGATGAGAGGAGACAGGTCACTAGCCATGTAAGGATCAAATAAGATAAAGATATATCAAGTGTGCATGGAGTATAAGAGTTTCACTGCAAAAATATGTACATACTTAAGTATAGATATGCTATAACACTATAGGTATGATGATTATATGAATATATTAAAAAGAAGATTGTGTGCAAAAGTAAAGCGTGTGGCAGAGAGGGGGGTTTGTATGTAACTATAGTTAAATGTTATGTGACTTAACCACTGACCCACTGGACGTCCCACTGGAGCAGATGTTAAGCCAAAAATAAAAACGCCTCCCACCATCACTGCTGCTGACAAGTGATTAAAGAGAAATGGTTGCCAAGTAAATTTCCTTTTGTTACTTTCTCCCCAGATTTCTAGTTTCCTCTGAGGAGTAGCAGGAGCATTAAACTGTCGGGGGTCATAAAAGGGACATGACACATGTTGCAGTACCAATTTTATCAATGCAGTCATCAATAAGAGGTAATGAATGTGTAACTGGGACAGTGACAGCATTTACCTTGGGGAAGTCAGTGCAGAACCTAAGAGTTTCATCGGACTTTATATCCAGGACAAGGGGAACTCCACTGACTAGAACTTGGCACTGCAAATCCATTTTTCATGAGGTAGTCAACCTCTTTCTTCATGACTTTCCTCTTAGCAGGACTAACCCGATGGGCACGGTGCTTAATTGGTTTTGGGTCAGTCAGAACAATGTCATGAGTTATGACAAGTTTAAGAGGGAATGTCATTAAGCAGACACGTGAGTTTCTCAACATCCTTATGCTGGTAAGTTGAGACAAGTAGTGGTGCAAATTTGACAATATCTCAGTGTTGCTTAGGCCCTGTGGTTTAGTATTACACATCATAAACTCATCATCGTCATCAGGAGAGATATGTCAGGAAGCATTCGTGCTGTTTTGTCAGACTCAGGGCTGCCTACCTCAGGCACTGGCATAACCTTACCCCGAGGTAAGTCATTGCTCTGAATGAAATCTACACCTTTAATAGGCAAGGCAGGGAGAACAGCAACTTTAAAGAGTCCACTGACCAGGGAAGACTGAACATCTTGCAAAGGGGCAGGTATGAAACTCATTCCAACACCTTGAACAACTGCAATTGAGTGACATGACAAATGGGGTGATAAAGGTAAGATGCTTACATGAATAATGGACTGGGGTCCTCCTGTGTCTCTAAGTATTGTTACTGGCTGCTGATCTTTTGAATCTCCAGTGAGCAACACAAAACCCTCTAAAATGAAGCGTTTAAAACAGGGGCTCATTATATTTGTCTTTTTGTGACATTTCGTTATTTGGTAGATCTTTTCTAAAGATCTTTAAAGATCAATCTTTAAAGATCTTTAAAGTCTGCTTAGAACAATAATGTGCGTCTGATATGGTTGGGGGGTTTTCCACATTAAAATCTTTACAGCTTCTATATTTAACCTTTAGAAAAACGTTAACCAGTGACCGTTATGTGAACTGCAGTCAAGTGACATACACTAGACTGAATGCTGGAAAATAAATTAGAGTGATATTTCGAATAACATTAATATCTGCAATGTTCCTCTGTTTTATTTGAAACATTGACTCCATACAACTTACTAGCTTTCCATTTACAAATCAAGCCATCATCCAACACCACGGAGCCACTAATGCCAGACCCACACCGTGCAGCCGAGCCACAGCCAGCCGGTCAACCCTAGCTTAGCTTAGGCTACGTAGCTG